CGAGGATGACGACCATGTCTAAAAAGCTATTTAAAAAGCTTAATAATAACGAGATTACCTAATTCTATTAATAATAGACTAAATCTTTTTAGAATATCTTAATAGTAATAATACCGGTATCTTAATAGTAATAATACCATTTAATTTAACCTTAAAGCCTTTAATAATAATAATAATAATAATAATATTTATAATAAATTTAACACTTAAATCGCTTAAGAAGTTACTTAATACACTAAAAATACCCTTATTAAGCTTAATTAGCTGTTATAATTATTACTATTAAGCTTACCTAATGCTCCAATTATACCCTTAATAGCACGCATTAATTAAAGAAGCTTATGTGAGACCTTATAATTAAATTTAATAGTATATTAAAGAGTATTAAGCTAATAAAGCAGCTATAAATAAATAGAATCTTTAATTATTTCTATAAAAGCTTATTAAATATTACGGGCGCTTATAGATAGCTTTTATAGCTAAGCTTAACCTAATTAACCTCTTTATAGCTTAAAAGAGCTTAAATCTACTATTTTTTACATTTTCATTAAATATATACACACTTAAAGGCCTTTTAATAGCTAAAATTAAATATATTTACCTTTATAAAGCCGCGTTATATAAAAAAAATTATGCTTTTATACCTATATAAGCAATTTACATGTAAAGGTCTAGGTAGAAACTGTTCCGGTGTTTTGTGGCTGTCCCGGAATTTTGTGGCCAACTAAGTGGCTAGCCCACTTAGTTGCCAACGGGTAGAACAAGTGTTGAAGATGCATTTAACCCCGCACGTGCTCTAGCGTTCGGGATCTGACGTAGGGATAGACACCAGGCCCCTTCAATTAAATATATTTACCTTTATAAAGCCATGTAACATGAAAAAAATCATGCTTTTATACCCGTATAAGCAATTTACATGTAAAGGTCTGGGTGGGGACTGTCCCGGTGTTTTGTGGCTGTCCCGGAATTTTGTGGCCAACTAAGTGGCTAGCCCACTTAGTTGCCAACGGGTAATTCTTTTTTTTTTTTTTAGTTGCCGGATTAGAGAGGAAAACAGACGTAGAGCTCAACCAACGAGCGTCAACTGGTGTGAGCAAACTTGACCCCTTCTGGAACAAATACGGACTGGAGTTGGTACTTGACCAGACATCTCAACGCCTTAGCTCCAAGGCAACACCTAGGCGCTCGCGCCCCACTAACTGACCCTGGCATGGCAGTGTAAACGTTGGAGCCTTATTCCTGCACATCTACCTGCTATGACCGATTTGTTTGCCCCAGCCCCTTTTTGCCAATCCGCTCGGGTTTGCAGACCACACCAGCACAATTAAGCACTCCGGGACGAGGGGTTGGAGGGAGGGGATACGATAGGTTGGCAGGGCGGCAGGTTCGATCATATTTCTAAAAAGAAGGTCTGATGGTACTCCGTACGTGTGAAGGTGCATGATACCGCCCTTAAATTAGGCCTGGGGTTGGTCATACTTACCGTTGACGTTTCGTGAAGCGCCTTGGAACTTGGACTTGCGTGCAGGCTGGGCAAGCGAGCTGCGGTGCTCATGCGTCGGGTACGTGTAGTAATCCTACTCGTCCCCCAACCCCTGCGTTACGAAATCTCAAGGAAACGTTACTCGTGCCCGCCCCACTATTTTAGGCGTCTCGTTCTCACTCACCACCTAAAGGTAGTGCTAGATAGTAAGGCGAGCCACCTACTAAGGCGAGCTACTTTATAA